ATCCCTCTCTACAGCCTCAGTGTTTGTTGATACTCTAAGTGCTTTTTGATAAACCATATCAGAAGTTCTTTCTCCTTCCTGGGCCAAAATAAAGAGATTTCTTGGGTATTCTATTCTTGAACACCCAACTTAGAACTGACCATGTGAAAAGTAAGGGGTTTTCAGATGTAACCGTGGAAAAAATTTTATATTTGACATATTTTAGGAGAAAACTCAATTTTTCAAGAAAAACTAAAAACAAATTTCAAGAAAAAACTGAAAACATTTTAAAAATAAAAAATTGGTCCAAGACTGTGGATACATTAGCCAAACAAACATATTTTTGCTGTGGGCATGAACTAGGGTGGGTTGGATCGGGTAATAACACCCTATGACGTGCCTTTTGATCCAATGTATCACCATACCAAGTTTAGTTGATGTTGGTCCAAAGAGTAGTTTGTGACCAAACAAAATTTTTTTTTTACTTTTATAAGTATAGGTATTTTAGAAAAACCTGTCTCCCATAGTATGATAATTGTGACATTTGTTCTCTGGGTCTTCCTCCCCCTTCTCTAATGTATTTATCACCACTCTCTGAAGAATAGAATTCAATGTAAATTATTCATTATAATCTAGATATTACAAAGTAAGAGTCTAAATTTTTTATCCTTCAATTTTGTTTGGTTACAGGGTCATAGACGAGAAAATCAGATTAACTTGCCACACCCACCTGTAATATCCTCCCTTTCACAAATTGCCAGTAATTTTCTCAGACATTTTATACTATATCATTTATAACCAATAGATAGGCAAAGTTTTAATCTATCAAATGACATATAATGCTACATTGTTTACAGTACAGAGTATTGTCAATTTCATCTTAATTTGAAAGTTTATATAGTGGTGTTTGGATCAAGCAACTAAGGGAATTAATTTAAGCCCTTCTTATCCTAGTTAGAAAGACAGTTAAATTCATACCGTTATAGGACGTGGTTTGCTTTATGTGTGTTATTACTTTGTGTTCTTGGGTGCATTATTTAAGTAAAATAACTTAGTGTACTTGTACCATTATTATAAAAAAAAGAATAAAATACTTAAATTTCATCATCACCAACAGCAAAAAATGAGGTTAAAGGTAAATATTATATTTCTTGTTTTTCAAATATATTTTTATTTACTGTTATAAAAGTAATTAAAATGTAAAAATTAAAAACATATTATGTTAGATAAGGGTAGAATAGGTAAGATAATGAAAAATAATAATAATTCTTCATGAAGTATGCTTGTGAGCAGCTCATGCATTATGTCATTCAATACGGTAGTGTGAATTCTATGATTGCCAAGTGACATTTACAATTTGTGTGGTGGGATTGTTTGTTAAACATGTATCAAAGAGCAGTAAAGCAATAAAATGAAGTATAAACAGGGCTAGACTGTTATGAGCTTTAAGCTATTTGGGATAAACAATTGTAGTTTTCTGTTACAATCTGAAATCATTCTAGAAAGAAAACAGGGGTAATTTAGATTTTATATTTTTTTATGGTGATTACAAGTTACATTTGATATTTATTTAGGAGATTTTAGAGATTATGCAAATGAATTTTGAAAATTTTCAGATAAAGAAAGGTATTTCACTTTGCACTCAGAGCAGTCAACACTCTCACCATATATTCACAGGCAATCCTTAATAAAAATGCTTAATTGAAAATTCTGATTTTTTTTATGTAGAAAAGACTTAATGTTTACTGAAAGCTTGCCAAATATTGTGAAAATACACATCATATTAAAAAACTATAGTATGGAAACTTTGATGGTTACTTTGTTGTTACAAGGTCAGTTGTATTGAATGAACCCACATGGAAAGAGTTAGGGAACCTGGTCAAGTCAGTATGAAATCAGAGTATTTACTATTCATAAACATCACCTGATGTTCAGTTTCATCTGTATAAATGTTTCACTCTGATTTGCTTTTAACAAAAGTATTCATCTTGCAGTATGTAGTGCATATGTTGGAAAGGCCCTCCCAAGTCACTTTGTGATTCTAACTTTTGCTCTCTTTCTCTAACTAATACTAATGCTGCTCTGTTTTTACATTAGTTTTCTTCCTTACAAAATTGCTCTACATTTGTTAGCTAGCTGTGATTTATATATTTAGTTCCAGAGTGAGCTTAGAAAAGAACATTTTTATGAGCAGTTAATGACAAATTACATAATAAAAGTAGACACAGCTAACATAAATACTGAGCATTGTTAAAATATTTCATATTTATAAGAAAAAATAAGAGTATTCAATACAAAGTGTGAAGAAACTGACAATAAAATTGAAAAGTTTTTTAACACCATTGAAAAAACAAACAAACCAAATTACAGAAGTTATTCTGCTTTATTTTTAAAATATCTACAAGTTGGTTAAAAATTGAAAACTTAATTTTGTTGTCAAACATTTTATATAAGGTGCATGGGTCATATTATATATATTGTAAACCGTGGTGTCTGTCCGAGCATTCATCTGTCTCCTGTTTGAAAAGCTGTGCATGCAAGCAAAACTCAACATTCACTTTGAAATGATGGGAGAACAGGCATGAATAATGTTGATGCCAAATTTTATTTTGCAAGCAGGATATTCTTCACTAAGTTGTTAGGAATTAATCACACTATCATTCACATTTCAAAATGTGATATAACTTAAAGAATAAAAATGGAGATTTACTGTATGTTATTGTTGAGCAGCTCTTAGTATGACTGAATTGCTCAACAATTACTTTTTGCGATGGATGGTACAAGTAGCTCAGAGCTTTGGCTCTGAGTAAAACCAAGAGTGCAACACAACCCTTTTAAAGTCCATAAAATAATTTAGATTGATGGATTAATTTTTTTCTATCACTTACTGGGGGTGGGTACTTTTGCTAGAATAACTTAAACTTTTCCCATCAGTGGGGATGGGTAAGTTTACTTTTACATATATATCAAGTAGGTGACAGCACTACCTCTGTAGGGGAAGCTCATCAAAATGGTATTTTAAATATCTCCTCAATAGGTCATCAGAACTTTACAACACTATACAGTGTTTCCTTTTATAACAATATCTGTGTAATGATTGAGTCAAAAGTTTTGGGAATGTCTGTAAATATCATAGCAAAAAGTTTGAATTTCTTGTTCTTTCTTCTGCTACTTTTTTATTACATGATAACTCAAAAACCAAAACAGCGGTGTCAACCAATTCCACTGAGGTGACAGTTTCAAACAGAATATCCTCTTTTATAAGTATTATTATTAACTGGTAGTAATTAAGAAAATACAATAATTCTAGTGTAAATGACATCATTACCCCTTGAAGTAAGTTTTCTTACAGATATTTAAAAAGCTTAAGTAAAGGGAGAAACAGTAATTTCCAGCTAACAAAAGATAAACAACAAATATTACAGTTGGAACCTCATTGTATTTAGAACTTGGTTATAAATATAACCTTCCTTTGTCTATTGAAACACTGCATTAAAAACCAAGCAAACAAATAAAGAAAAACTTTTCAAACAAGGAAGAAAATTTAGGGATGGCTAATATTCATCCTTCAAGAACAATGCAAACGTGAATGTAGGGATAGCATTTGCATCATACGTACATAATAGCATAGACACATAGTGTAGTAGAATGTTAACGAACAAATATAGGATGAATTAAACTCAATTGTGATTGAATAGTTATATGTATGTGTATATATATATATATTGCTATATGTTAATTCTTGCCTGTGCTATTATGTAGGGATGATGCAAATGTCATCCCTACAATCGTATTTGCATTGTTTTTGAATAATTGATATTAGCCATCCCTACATTTACTTCCTTTTTTTTCAAAGTTTTACTTTACTTGTATATATACCCAGTCAGCAGCTTGTAAGGTGAATGATGCAACATAGACAACAAAACAGAGTTGATGTACATGTAATCCATACATAAAAAAATATAGTCAATTTTCAAAGATGTAATTGACAAAGAAATAAAAGTAATTGCTTTGATAAATCTCCTTATGCAGAGAGAGAAAGGTCTTGTTTTTTCAGTTGGTGATTTTGAAAAAAATTATGTTGTTTCTGAGGAATTTGCAAACAATGTTTTCAATAAGATCCCTGTGTCTTAGGTCAGACCCAGTTGACCCCGTTCGTCTAGCTGAGTCTATATCCCAGTCATTCTGTCTTGCTCTAACACCTCATCTGGAGCTTCTAGCAGATGAAGAACTGACAAAGATTGGCCTTAGGGTCACTCTTAATAGTGAACAGGTACTCTCTTAAGGTTTTATTGAAACAATATTTGAGTTGTATTTGGTTTCTGGTAATTCAAGAGTATTCTGTAATAATTTTGACTTTAGAAGATGGAATGTTTCTAAAATACAGTTCAAAGTACTATTAAATCTTTAATCAAAACTCAGTTTGCAATTTTAATCATATTTTCCTATTTATTTCCAGATGCTCATAACATTATTTTAAATTTCAGACGTATTTAGGTTGTTCCTTTCCACCTGTGTACATTTTTAAAAGAAACAAAAATCTGCAACACAAATAAGGAAAAATATATAACAATTATGTTTAAAAATTAATTTATATTATTACAAGACCTTCATCACAAAAATAAATACTATTAAATCTTATCTCTTTTTGTTTTCTATCTATCTCTCTCAACTCTAGCTTTGTACCAAAGAAATATCTTTTACATAAAGCATTGCTATGATTGATTGCATATAGTGAGTAAAAAAAAAAGGATTGTTAGAGTAATAGAAAATAAAATGTTTGTGTGAGAATAAATCGTTTAAAGAGGCAAAAGAAAACTAGAAATTTATATTATCCCAAGCAATATACTTTAGGTTATTGAAAACCACATGTTTTGTTTTCCTATATAAACTGAAAATTAAAGTAAAAATATGCCAATAAGTGTGTGAGATTAAATCATTTAAAGAGGCACAAAAAAACTAAAGATTTATATTATTCCAAACAATTTGCTTTAAGTCAATTAAAACCACATGTTATTTTGTTTTCTATACTAACTAGAATGTTAGTTCACAGAGTTTCACATATATGTATATGTGTGTGTGTGTATATATATATAAACTGAAAATTAAAGTAACAAAAGATAAGCCATTTTTACTGTTTCATTCAGAAGTCAGCATAGGATTTTTATATATACAAGTTCTAAGATGTTCAGCAGCCTATATAATGTATAGAATATGCATGTGTGTTTCTAGTAATTTTATTCAATACAAAAATTACAAAATATAATTAAAATTTAAAAGCATTTTAATTTTAAAATATAGTAACAAAATAAAAATTACAGAGTTCAATATACTTAGAAAGTTCACTTTTTTGTTGAAATGTAGCAAAACATCTTTATTATTTTGTGTATTGCTTAATGTGTGCTCCAAATGAATTGTGTTTTATATAATTGCAAGTTTAATCTTTTGATTGACATTTTAAATGTTCCCAAGGATTATATTTATTCCTTATAATGTGGCAATCTTTTGTTTGTATGGTAATGAAATCAGAAAATTGTCTTTGAAAAGGCCAGCATATACTAAATTGTATTTCTGTGGCATAATAAGAACTGACTGAAGCATCTGTTCCATTGCTACTCTGATAAAACAGGGGTGGACTGAACAGTTGGGCAATTGGACAATGTATGTGGTTCTAAACAAGGGCCCCCTCAGTGGCACAGCGGTATGTCTGTGGACTTACAATGCTAGAATCTGGGTTTCGATACCTGTGGTGGGCAGAGCACAGATAGCCCATTGTGTAGCTTTGTGCTTAATTAAAAACAAACAAACCTAAACAAGGTGGATCATATAGAATTTTGATAGCTAGCCAGCTAACTATGAATTTTTATTTCATTTTCTTGCCCCTCTCAACTAATTCAAATACTGTATCATGAAATAGAGACTTTTAGGAACGCCATAAAAACTCAGTGTTTTATACTCCTACCTATAACTACTTAGTTTACATTTCACTATTTCAGCATCAAAAATAATACAAACTGTTCACTTCAAAACTTACCACAAAGAATGGTCAGGAGGTGCTTCATAATATATTTTTATCAAAAACAATTATACATATACAAGTTACATGTATGACTTATATTACATATAAGTTAGATTTACTCTGTGATTAATATAATTTGTATTATTAATGTAGTTGTTTTGTTTTTGTTGTTATTGTTGTCATCATAAGGTCCTGAGAGCCTGCCCCTACTGGTAATGTTGTAATCAATAGATAGTATTATGGAGGTGGTAGACTATATGTAAGGATGGCCAAAGTCCTCAGTAGGAATAATACAAATATTCATGCTAAAAAAATTAACAGTGACAAAGAGTTTTACCTTACAAGATGATTACCACTCACTTTCAGTTGTTTCTCTACTCAATAAGCCCAAAAACAAGACAAGAAACTATTGCTAAGATACCATACCAGAAAGTGACAAACCCACTAAATTGTTCATTTTTTTCTCTTGTTTCAGTTGAGATAACTCTACAACTACTTTATCATTAATGTCAGTATAAACTTACATCCATTCTGTGTTTCTGGGCAGAGCATGATGTCATCATTTAGTCATAATAACTAGTAGTAATTAAAAATATAATCATAATTCTAGTGTAAATGATGTTATCATTGCTCTTTGAAGAAAGTTTTCTAACAGAAATCTGATGTTCCTTTAAAAAGCTTAAGTACAGGATGAAACAGGAATTACCAGCCAATAATAGATGAGCATTAGATGACTGTAACATGTGGA